TGTTTGTTACAATATTTTCAAGTGTTAGGACAAGGTCGAGATGAGCAAAATCAGAAGTTGTGACAGAGGTATTTTACCCGAAGAGATTGCACAGTCAAGGTGTACTTTGAAGACATGTAAATTATTCTAAGTGTAGAATCATACAAGAGCAGAAAAAAAAGAAGACATTCATTCAAAGAAGAAATTAGAGAAATGCATTTAAAGAAGAAAGAAGGCACTTCGGCCTGAATATTGAAAAATAAATTATTCAGACTACAAAAATGGCACGTCAGCCGGATTAAAAGCATACAAAGAAGGACAAAGTACAAGGTACAAGGTACAAGGAGTAAAAGAAGGAAACAAAACTACTCGGCATCAAATGGCAGGATATAGAAGACAGTTGGGAAGACTTCTCAGTAGCCTTCTTGGCCTCGAGCTCAGCATCGATCTCCCGAAAAGTTTGATCAAAGCTCTTCTCGGCGATTGGCACCTCGGAGTTTGAAGGCAAGGATTGAAAACAAGAATCTGGAAAAAGATACAGAAAATAAAAACAAAAATGTAATTCCTAATCAAGAATGGTGATGAAGCTATCAGAAAATCAAGACAAAAAGATTGCACAGGTGTGTTAAGCCAAGAACAGTGGCAGAAATCAACAGATGTGTGAACAGTGTGTATTCAAGAAGATGATTTGGAAACAACGGGTAAAACAGCAATGGTGATTAAACAATGAAGCAAAGCTTCTTGGAAAGTAACAAGAAATAAAACCAGGAGGAACAGTGACTTACCAGAAAGAGGGAAACCAGAATGAGAATTGCCGAAGTTTGACGACGGATGCGAAAATGACAGAATGACGTAAGCTTCACCGGAGGAGAGGAGCGAAAACAGTTGCAGAGCTTGAAAGCTTGGAATAATGATGAATTTAAGCAAAAGAGCTAGAAAGAAAAAAAGTCAGAGGATTGAATGAAAAAAGAGAAAAATCAGAGTCAAGAAGACGACAAAGTTCAATGATAAAGCCAAGTGCACAGGCACTAAGTAAGTATGTGAAGAATAAGAAAGTAATGACCCAGACACGATGCTAGCAACAGAAAGCGGATATAGCAAGAACAGTGCCAGACGTTCAAACAATTCAAAACTTGAAAACAGACGAAAATAGAAGACAACAGAGGGCAAGTAAACGGATTCAGAAGAGTTATGAAAGATTGAGCTTAACAAAAGAGTTTATGAACCTACCAAGAGCAATGAACGCCGATATGAAGATCGCCAAAGTCAAATTGATGACTGGAAATCGGGAACCCACCGAAGAATGTGAGTGGAGCAGTTGCAAAGCTCTTGGAGTTTATGAATTAATGGAACAAGAACCTCGGCTAGGAGGTGTGATCTCGAGCAGCTTGGAAAGCATGAAGCTTGATACTTGATAGAAGTGGACAGTAAAAGTTCAGGGAACTTTGAGGTCGGCGAGTTTGATCTCGGACAGAGGGGCACAGATGAACGAACAGTGTAGGTTCCATTACCTCATAATGCCGAGGTAATAGAACCTAGGGGGCAGTTGTGGGGATATATTTTCTGAGTATCAACACGTGGCCAAGGTGACGCCGACGTGTCAGTCGAGGTGCCACGTGTCCTGGTTATTATGCAGAGGTCATCTCGGATAGGCCGAGGTTACCTCCGAAGATATCGGAATCTGAGATAAACGGATGAGGGACAAGAGTCCTAGAATAAGAGAAGACTTCAGTTTGTGTTAAGATAAGACTTTTAGAGAGTTTATCCTAATCTTACTGGGAGTTCAAGATTAGCAGTAATCCTCAGTCCATAGAAGTTAGGCTTCTATTGGGACTAGATTTATGTTGGCTATAAAAGAGAGGCACCCTCATGGGTCTAAGGTATGCTTTTGATATTCAAGCTTGTGAGTTTAACACTTGATTTATCTTTGAGAGATATACTAACTTGATCATCGGAGTGCCCCCGGATAGACGAACCACCGCCGGAATCTTCTCTTTCTGTTACAGGTAAGCCAGGTGCCATCTATTCTGCCGGTGCTCTCCAGATGGTTACTAAGCGGGCAGTGTGGTCCATATTCTACAAATTCCTCTCTACAAATTCCTTTCAGAATCCATATTCTCTCTCTATCTCTTTCTAAAAACCTCATCCCCGGGCCTCTCTTTGGGCCGGCTGGCCGCCGCCTTCAGCTATGTCGGTCGGCTGGGTTAGCTTTCTCTCTGTTTGTTTGTTGTCTTCCCGTTAATAAACTCTTGGGTCCCCCATTATTTTCCCACCTAGGAGTGTTTGGTGTGCTGTGGTGAGTGTTTGGTGTGCTACGGTGTTTTTTGTTAGTGCTTTTGGGCCGTTTTAGCTGATCTTTTGGGGGTTTTGGTGTGGTGTTTTCAGTAGGGGACGTCCAGGAACTTCACTCGAGCGCTCTCTTGCGAGTTGGAGCTTGAGGGGTGAACTCTGGTTCAGATTTTTGGAGAAGATTCGATGCTTGGTTTGGGCAGAAACTTGGGTGTCGGAGTTGATCCATCTCTGTCTGGTTTTCATTCAAGCGCTCCTCTTCGTGGGAGAGTTTGAGGGGTGTTAGGAGAAGAACTGGAGAAGGAAGATGTTCTGCTGGTTGGTCAGTGTTTGGATTCCCAGTGGTTGGTGTCCCAGCGGTTTGGCAGTGAGTTAGAAGAACGGTTGGGAGCTGTTCTGTGGGTGAGATAATGTTGGGAGTTAATGTGGGTGTTGATCTGCAATGTTTGGAGCTGCAATGTGGGTGATGATCGGCAATGTTGGAGCTGCAATGTTGGAGCTGAATGTCAAGGTCCAGCAGGGGAGTTTGCTGGTGGTGACTGCGGATTAGCAGCTTAGGTGTGGTTGGCCGGTCAAGCAGCAGCTCTGGCGGTGTGGGCTTTGGGAGTTGGGAGTTGGCAGCTGCTTAGGGGTGGCGTGAGCAGTAGGTGTGGACTGCAGCATAGGGTGGTGCGGGCAGCATAGGTGTGGGGCGTGGGCAGCTTCAGAGGTGTGGTCTTGGCAGAGTGGGTGGTGATTTGACTTTGTTTGGGTGGTTCGGCAGCTTGGGAGTTGGGCTAGTTAGTTGAGTTTAGTTTGTTTTGGATGTTTTGGTGGGTTGATTATGTGGGGATTCATGTCTTTATTTTCTAGTTAAGTCTTTCTTAACTTTTTTTATGTATTTATTTTAAGAAAAAAATCGAGAGGCTAAAAGGTTGGTTGTATGGATGCGAGTAGCAGTAGTAGGGGTATTTTGTACTTTCCGAATCTCTCTCGATACATGTCATCTTCCTGTTCTTTTAATTTCATGTTGTTAAATGAAATTTTTCTTTACTGATAAAAAAAAAAAACGGACAGTGTGATCAAAAAATCACTCACACAATAAGGTATTACATGACATATATATCCTATCTATATATAAAAATTACTCATGAAAGGAAGAGATGATTTTGATAGGCTGAGATGCTGTCTCCTTATTTCTTTATTTCTTTTCTCTCTCTCTCTCTCTCTCTCTCTTAAAACTATGTGAACCTTATGCAAGCAATGCAATATGGACCATATGGTCCCCATATACTCTCTGTTTTACGCCCTTTTTTTTTTTTTTGGTGTTCATGGTCGATGCTTACCTTACAATACATGTTGGAGAGAGAGAGAGAGAGAGAGAGATGCATATGTATGTATAATGTATGTATGTTAAAAGATATTTGAAGTAAAGTCATTAAAGGGTCTTAGGAAATTAGGAAGTCTCACTAACCTTGTCTGCATGTGGTGGCGTGGGCATGACAATATTCAATTCATTTGCCTTCTACATGGACCACTTTCTTCTTTTCTCTTTTCTTTTTTTTAAATGTATGCTTTTTTCCTATTTTTTTTTCCTTCCTTTTTTAAAGTACCAATTCTTAGTTCTGTTTTGATTTTATGATTTTACAATGCAATGACCAATATGATTAAATAAAGCAATTTTTCCAATTTTTTTTTGCATCATCTTAATTGTCAATAACTATTAGCAGTAACTTATGTTATGTATGGAACTTTATATTACACAACAAACTTATGACATTAACTAAAAGTACACTAACAAATATTTTAAATATAATACCAAATTTGAATACATAGTTCTTCCTTGTTTAACCTTAATTAGGTTACAGATTAAGAAGCCTAGCTACACAACACAATTTTCTAGATATTTACCAATAAAATTACAGCACGATATATTTTGGAGTGGCTTCATCTTTCAAAATTGGTGTAATGAAATAAAAACAATATTCCATAATTTATACCAACATCCACAACATAAACTCCTAAAGTAGTTGGAAATTCTACCTTTAGATATCATCATTAAGGAGTTAAAATAGACATTTCATGTTGTGTGAATCCTACAAGATGCATATCCACAATCGGCGAAAATTAAACGTAAATTTGTAGACGTGAAAATCTACCAAATCTTGTTAGCAATATATCTATGTTAATTCAATTTCTTTGATAACTGTCATTTGTATTAGCGTTATAATAAAAATTAAGTAATGGGAATTAAATATTTTTATAACAAAACTACGAGCTTGTTATGGACGAAGTCAGAATTCTTACATTAGAGGGTCAATGTTAATAATAATTTATTTATTTTTTTGAATTAGGAGAGGCAATTAATGAAATTTTTTAATATTTCATGGGATTTCAATTGAAATACTCCTATAATATGAGTCTTTTTAATTTTTTACCTATGAAAAACCATAAGAATGAGGGGGAAAACAGGGGGAAGAATATAAGAAGAAAAGATTAGATTTGGATTGGCATATGCTATTCGGTTTATATGAGCAAATTTGTTACAAGTACTCAATTATATGGCCACCATCTAATTTTAGGAATGTTTTTAAAAAATTAAAATTCTATTTATATTCTAGCAAGTTTACCACTATTGCAAGGTACATCCAAATCATGTCAATCACCATTACACAATATATAATATTGTCTTATATGTCAACATATGCCATCCTAGTCCAATATTCTAATGCCATAAGACAAAAGAACTGGAAGTAGCAAAAGCATACTTGGAAGGAGTGGATATAAAACTCCTCCTATGATTCTTATCTATTTATATCCTCTCATCTCATTCCTTCTTATCTGTGAAAGCCTCAAGAAGAAGAAGGTGAAGATAGAAGGGGCTCTAAGCTAGGTCACAAAGAGGGTGCATACGACCTTATCATGCACCACAGATAGTTGAAGCTGCCAGCATGATCTGAGCTTTCCTTATCATAGGAAAAAATAGATCATATGGCAGCTTCACCCGTCAATGGGAGCATGGAAAACCCTAATCACCACAAACTCTAATTCCATCTCTTCTAATCCCAATTTTCAACAAACCTATTATGTTTTTCTCTTCATTGCAAAAACCCTACAAGAAAGGTATGTGTTCTTCTCATAGTTTTAAATAATAGCATTAGGATATATATTGGTATGTGGATATCAACTAATACCTTACCAGTGCTGATATATCAGTGAACATGGATACCTCTATTTGGTTTTTGGCTAATCTGGGCATCCCAAGATTTACTTTCTCTCTCTACCCCCTTCCATATTCATGTTTCCTTTTCTCTCTCTTTCTCTCTCTCTCTATATATATAGTATTTTGGTGGTGTTATTGTTGTGTTCTTCTTTTGTGTGTCAAAGTAATGTTATGCAGAGAATCTTAGAAGCAGGCGAGGGATGTTGTTAGGGTTTTAAGTGACAGAAATTCTGTCCTAATGTGGTTGGTGCTTTTGAGATCCCTCCTCGTGCCTTTGGGGTTTTTGATTTTTATATTCCCAAATGTACTGTTTTTGTCAATTTGTGCCAGGTTGTATGCTTCCTTCTGTATTCATATGTTTGATCTATTCAAAGCTATATGTGCATTTCTTTTGTTGTTTTTCATGATTATATGTATCCATTGCCAACTGACCCCGTCAGGGTCGGCTCAAATGATAAGTCGCTCTGATTCTATTCAGGTGATTTTAAATTCGAGTCTTGATATCTTACTTTGTCCGATATATGAGGCTTGCAGGTGGTCGCACTTATTCTGAGTTTTGGCGCCTATGGTGGATCCAAAAGACTCTACTTAGGATCATTCTTGGTTATCAAAAAAATAACTAAAGCTTGATTGTGTCCTCTCTTCTATTTCCATGGGTTTAATTATCAACTGATACGTCAAATTTTGGACTTTTAATACTAATATTCGTTCATATATCAACTGCTATTGTTTGATGATATCAACTTAGATAATATTGCCGATACCCTTTTTTAAAATCATTCTCACTCCACCCCCACCCACCACATTTCTCTCTCTCTCTCTCTCTAACATATTTCTAGGTACCTTGGGATGTCTCATTTGGAAGATAATAACATTCTAGAAGAACTGCAAGAAATACAAAGATCATGACCAAACATGGCAATAAATTGTCTCATTTGGAACTTAGTACTAAAGCTGATGATCTGGGTAGAAAATAAGAGGGACCCTTTTGAAACTTTTTAAAGAGAAACCACTGGAATAAAATTTTCTAATTATACAGAAAGAGACCAAAAAAAAAAAAAAAAGAGTGTTTTTGGAAAACAGATTAAACAATCTCTTCAATAAGGAAGCAAAATGGACAAATAGAGTAGACACAAATTATTTAAAGCAGAATGGAGTAACAGACAAATACATTTAGCATTCTGCAAAACAGTTTCTAGTTGCTACTTTTGTAAACCCAAATAATACTTTTGCTATTTTGTGAAAACAGAAGCATGATAAATAAATAAAAAAATAAAATAAGCTATGCTGCTATTTTTTTTTTTTTTTGGATCAGCAAGCTATGCTGCTATTGTAGACTACTATATATTGTGTTTGGATATTGAATTTGTGAAGGAAAAAAAATAGTAAATGAAATATAAATTTTTCTTCATTCTTTTTTTTTTCTTCCGTAAATTCAAAATTCAAACATAGTCTTAAACATTACTATTTATGAGAAAATTAGCAAATTTCACTTTACCTTGCGTTATGGGCAATGTGCACATAACTCCTGTCATTTAGATAGAACTACTTTAACCCAAATGGTTTATGAATTAAAACATACCACTAACTTCTATTAACGGTAGTTATAATATTCTCACGATCTTCAATTCTTTTGAACTCAAACCCTTTAATTATCGTGTAGTATTGAGCCTTTTTAGTGTAACTTATTTTAAGACCTGATTATCAAAAAAATATAAGTCAAAAGCATCTCTTTTCCAATTTTCACATAATTAGTTTAAAAAAAATAAAAAATAAAAAAAATTATACCAAACAATTTATAAATAACTTATTTAATCTGCAGCAAACAAATAACTCATCTACTATTTGGAAATATAAGCGTCCACAAATTATAACAAGAAAAATGATCCGGACCCCCACGACCCCCACTGGCCTGTGATTGGCCTTTTTTTTTTTTTTTTCCCTTCAATCACCAACTCCCACGTGTGTATGGAAGGGAGAGTGGGGGTCTCAATCAGGTCTCTTATAACAAGGGCTTAAGTAGTTATTTCTAAATATTAGTCAATAACATAGAAAATTAAGTAAAATTTGAAATAAAAATAAAACAGTAATACTATAATCCAGTCTTATCCTAGGAATTTTTCAGAATTTTTATCATATGGTTCAAATTTATTCTACACACAATCTCACACTATATAAATTAATCTCTCACCTTGAATTTTTTGAGTGGATAAATCTGGGCTTCTAGATTAATTCAAAAGCAAAAACAAAAACAAAAACTGTGATGGGTTTTAAGACGCTAGTATAGATTGTGTTTTCCAACATAGAAATCTTTTTCTATTTTAATTATGTTTTTTTGGACTTCTGAAACCCTCTGTATTTTTTCTTCATTGCTGTAGTCTGTCTCTCTCTTCACGGCTGCCGACTTATACAGTCATCTATTATGTGCTACATTTTCTTCGCTTATGTGATGATTTTACATCTCCTTCTTCCTATGTTCTGTTTGAAGAAGAATAAATTTCCTAGGTAGAAGCGGCACAGTCAACTTTCTACGCATTGAATGTTACTCCACTGCCTAACTTCTCCGACCAACCTTGACTCTCTCTCTCCTCGCTCTCCAATAACCATTGGTGATGTTTAATAGTAGTAATTATTTACTAATCTTTGAGAATCATGTGATATCAACGGACTAGAAAAAGACAAATTTTCGGAGAACTTGTATTGTTATAGGTCGATTTACTGGCATGTTTGAAAAACCCTTGAATTGGCCGATACACGTTACATAACGATGCGCCCTGATATATACCAGCAGATATTTTTAATACTGATATGATATGTATTTTGATATAATGATTTAGAATTATGTGACATTGTTCACATGGTGTTTCCAGTCAATAACATAGGACAATTTTATGAGTGACTCATCTTTTTTAGATAACATAAAATAACCACATAAAAATACTAAAAAAAGAAATATGTCGTCTAAATCCAACACTAATATTATATTGTCGGTCTCACTTAAAATGAATGAGTATCACAAATAGAGAAGTTAAGAACTCAGAAAAAGAAATTCAGAAACTTACCCGAAATGTTGTTGAATGATATAGATTAAGGGATTGTTTGGGATGAGCTAAATAAGTGTACTTTTTGTCTTTTTATGAAAAGATGTGTAAAAAAGTAAAGAAGTGATGTGATGAAAAAAGATAAAAAGATGAATTATTTTGAACTTCCCAAACTTGGCCTTAATTTTTTATAATAGGACTCACTCTTGAAATGCAGCTTAATCATTCAATGCTTTTTTTGAATATTTTTCTAAAGAACCACAAATTGTTAAACTTGATATTTTTTTGTGATTGGTTTCTTGATTTGTAGCATTACTCATTAGATAGTTGAAAAATAAAAGTTGTATGTTTGGCATTTCTTATAATGTCACATAATATGCCAAGGGTATTCGATAATTTTCCATTGGATAGTGATTTTTGGACTTCATTGAAGTAGCACAAAAGAAAGTTGTGTTTGGTTTTTTCTTTTTAGGTCGGTTGTTGGGATTTTCTCACCAGATTTTGTTTGGAAGCTCCATTTGGCTAGACTCCATCCATCTTTTTTTATTCTCCAAGTAGAGCCTTACAAACCCAAAAACGTCATCAATTTGATTCTCACAACCTTTTGTGGTTTGGTTTCCCATTTGTGCCGTAATAATATCTCAAGAGCATGTTGTTGGGTTGGCCACTAGCTAGGGTTAGTTACATCCATTTTATGTTGTATTTGAATTATAAATTTGTGAAGAATTTTATAAATGAAAATGAAAAATACAAATGAAATGTAGGTGAAATGTAATTATATTTCATTCACATTTCATACACCTTTTTCCTTTTTCTACCCAAATTCAAGATCTAAACATAGCTTAATATGGGAAATGGGACTTTCTTTGCGTTGAAGCAAACCCTAGAAAGCCTTTCTTTTGAGTTTGGTAATGTTTTCATGGACTTTAGCATGGCACTTGTTGGAAAGGAAGGCACTATCATGTCAAGGAATCCTATTTTGTTCATCCATAGCTTTCTCTTTGATTGATTAAAGTGAGAAGAAAAAATAAATTTGTTGACACAAATTTGAAATTGTGTTTTGTTCACACAAAATCGAACTTGTTATTTGATTCTCCAAACACTACATGGTCATGTGTCTACCAAACAATAGAGACGTGTCATTATTTTTTAGGAACACGATGAAGACTTGAACATATGTAATTAAGCGGCTACACGACCGTGCAAATGTATGGTTTTAAATAGGCTTACCGCACTGTTTTAAATAATTAGAGATGGCGGTATTGTTAATTAGTTGGGTGAACAAAATAAATTTCTACACAAGAGACGACAAAATAGGATAAATTATGATGGCAACAAATAACTTACAAGTATTTTTCTTTCTTTTTTATTTAATAATTTTAAATATTTGACAACTTTAAAATATTATATGACATTATTTACATGATATTCTCAACAAAAAAATGAATTCCAATTTAATTGGATTATTTATTATGTTTTAATTATTTAACAAATGTGAGTCACTTACCAAATCCCTACTTTTTCAGAGCTCCTCCACCATTACAAAAAATATTGTGTGAAGCTAATGTTCGGGAGGTGCGAAATCTTAAGAAGATTCTAAGGTGTTTTGAGATGCTTTCAGGTCTTAAGATAAACTACCACAAAAGCATTGTTAGTGGAGTGTGTGTTCCAGATGAGGAGATGTTGGAGTTTGCTTCAGTGCTAAATTGTAAAGTAGGAACTATGCCATTTCAGTACCTTGGACTCCCATTGGGTGCTAACCCAAGTAGGAAAGCAACATGGAGGCTTGTTCTGGACAAGTTTAGAAGTAAATTATCAGGCTGGAAAAGGAAATTACTTTCATTTGCTGGGAGACTTACGTTAATTAAGTCGATTCTGTCCTCTCTGCCCATTTATTATCTGTCATTGTATAAATTGCCTCAAGGGGTAGCCAGAGACCTGGATAAGATTCAGGCTTCTTTCCTCTGGGGTGGTTCTGAATTGAAGAGGAAGGTTCACTTGGTAAAATGGAAGGAAGTAGCTAATCTAGTGCAGCAAGGGGGTTTGGGGGTTAGGAGAGTTAAGGAGGTTAATAATTGCCTTTTGTTGAAATGGAGGCGAAGGTTCGGGGTTGAGAACAAAGCTCTGTGGAGGAGAGTCATTTGCAGCAAATATCGGTTAGAGGAGGGGAGTTGGAACCCTCCTACTAGCCCCATTAACAGGTTTTCTAAAATGTGGAAAGACATATTATCAAGTTCTGATTAGAGTAGCAATCTGCTGGAGTTCTTTCTGAATAACTGTAAGGTGAAAGTGGGGAATGGCCATAGAGTTAAGTTTTGGGTGGATAAATGGTGTAACAACTTATGTCTCAAAGATGAATTCCCACTCTTGTATAGGTTGGTAGGTGAAAAGGGTGTGACTCTAGCTGTAATGCTGGATAGGAAGGAGGATGCTGGTGAGTGGGTGTTCCAGCTTAGAAGGGAATTGTATGATTGGGAAAGTTTGGAGGCAACCAGATTGATAAACCAGCTAGAGGCAGGCTCAGTTCTTAGGAACTCTGAAGAAGATACACTAGTTTGGATGGCTTCAAAAACAGGGAGTTTTTCGGTTGAATCAGTGTACAGATTTATCGCAGAGGGTTTTGGTAGCTTCAGTCCAATCAGTAGAAGGATTTGGGTAAAACACATTCCACCTAGAGTTCAATTTTTTGGTTGGCTTGCTTGGAAAGGAAAATTAAAGACTTCTGAATTTCTTACCAGGATTGGTGTTCTGCATGCTAATGCACCCTCAGTATGCTGTCTGTGCAAGTCTGGGGTTGAGTCACTTAACCATGTGCTACTGTCATGCCAAGTGGCTTAGAGTGTATGGTCTGCAATACTAAAATGGTGGGATGTTCAAGGTGCCCTGCCAAATTCAGTGGAAGCTGTTCTTGACTGGTGGGCCGGGGTGAGGTTTAGGAAAAATGTGAGGTTGATGTGGAAAGCTCTTCCTTTGGTTGTTATGTGGACTCTATGGAACCATCACAATGAATGCTTATTTCGAGATGTTACCCCAAGTGGGGAGGGTGTTTCTGATCTGATTAAGGTAAGAATGGCTGTCTGGTTTAAGGAGGTATTTAAGGATAGTAGGTTCTCTGTGCATGATTTCATTTTTAATTTGGAGCACATCAGATTTTGCTTGGGGAATGGTTCCAGGGGTGTTTCTTGATGCTTTGGTTTGCTGCTGTGATATTAATCTGCTTCCTCTATTCTGATTTGTTTAATCTACCTCAACTGTTCTGCTATTTTGCTTCTTCTGATCTGGTCCTTTGGATTAGTTAATCTATTCTGATCTGGTTCCTAGTCTGCTCTGTTATTCTGTCTTGTCCATTCTGGTATAAGCTGGTTCTTTCTAGTCCCATGCGGTTATGAGCTGCTCTGTTATTCTATGGCTTATCTGGCTCTCGAAGGGTTGCAGTGTATGCTTTTGGTTACAGTGTAGGTCCTATTGGATGCTTTGCAGTGGTTTGCAGTGGTTGGTATTAGGCTGCAGAGAAGGTCTGTTCGTTATGCACTGGCCTAGGAGCAGTGTGGTGGTCTGTTTGTGTATGTTGATTTTGCTCCACTCTTTTTGTGTTTCTGTCTCTCTGTCTCCTTCTAGTTTTGTCCTCTTTGTTGGTCTCTCTCCAACTAGGAGGTTGGAGCTTTTTAAGCTCCAAGCTTCTCTTTATTGATGTAATCTTTCATTCTCTGTATGCGTTTTCATCAATATAGTCTTTTCTTTTGCCGATCAAAAAAAAAAAACAACCCGCAGAGTTGAGACGCAATTTAACCGCTTCGCAATGGGCCTCAAAACCAGCCCATGTATTCTTGCACATTGGCTCCAAATCTCATTTTTCAAGGTTGGTTTTGGAAGTGATTTTTTATTAAAATATGAGCTGAAAAAAATTAAAGCGTTTAAAAATAATTTTTGACTTTTTACAAAAAGAGATGTGCAAAACATAAAGAGAACGATAAAGAATTTTTTATTTTTTTTGTATAAGTTCTTAATTTTTTAATTAATTTAGTCACTTTCCAAACATAGCCTCAATCCCCGTTCTTATGAAAGAACTAGAAATTGTTCCTTCTTTAACGTAGTGCAAGGTCTCGTTTAAGAACAGATTATTTTAATAATTTTTTAATTTTTTATAAAAAAATATACAAAAAAATAAAGAGAGTGACATTATAATTTATAATAACTTTTTAATTAAAATATGTAGTTAAAAAATGAAACGTGCCCTTATTAATTAGAATAGAATCCCTATTAACAATACGCATGGGAAAAGTATTAATCCAGACAGTTAAATATTGAGATGAGAATTGATTTTAAGTAAGGGCGATGCAGCAATATTCGGAGAATGGGACAAAGTTAAAGCAACTATGAGGTTTCAAGGCAAAATACCTATTAAAATTACAAAAATATTTTCTTTATTTTACCTAATTAATTTAGTTAGTTTGCACTCTTATAATACTCTTTATTTTAATTAATCAATCAAACTAACTTAACTAACTTTTTTTTTTAAAAATTACTATAAACATAAATAAAAAATACAATTTTTTTATGACATGTTTTTTTTTTGTTTGGCTTATGACATGTTGTATATGCACTTAGTATTGACGTGGTTGTTGATGTGACATTTGTTAATATTTATTTTTTAAAAATATATTATTAAATTATTTCTTAAAATAACATTTTTATACGAAAGATAAAAAAAGAGAAATAATAGAAAAAGAGAGCCCTAGCTGTGATCAATGGACTGGAACAAAAAAGCAACAAAGAAGAGATGGGGACTTGAACAGAAATAGGGAGACCATCTGCTTAGTAATGAATACTAGCTACATGTGGAGAGCATAAATGAAAATTGGCAAAATGCCTTTGATGATGCAAAACCCATTGGAGGACGACAAATACAAGCTCATTAGCAAAAATTGTTTATACAGTTCTTGTCTCCTCTCTTGGAGTTGCTCTTAGATATCTCATTTCAATTTTATGTCCCGAATTTTTGTCTCAATGTTTCATATGCAACCATGTTGTTCCCACTTAAAAAATTGACTAAAGCCTCGTTTGGGAACTCTCATTTTTAGTTAAAAAGTCAAAAAGCTATTAAATTAGCCAAAAAGTCAACAATCTATACCAAAAAGTCAAAGATTCTCTTTTCTCTCTACTTTTTGCACATCTTTTCGTAAAAAGTCAAAAAGTCATCCCAAGCATACTAGTTTTTTTAACTCATATTTTAGCTAAATAGCTAAAAAATTACTAAATTAGCATGTTCCCAAACAAGGCCTAAGAGTTCAATAAGGTAAAGAGTGTTTACCTAAGCGATTAAGTAATGAAATGAGGATTAATTTATAGGGTATGGCTTTTGTCCAATCCGAGATCAGACTGGACCGTGTTGTTGGGCCCGTGGGGGCCCATCACGGGTCCCGTTTTGATAATCTGAATCGTTAATGTGTAGAACTCGTCGAGTACTATATAACTGTAAAAAATCACGTTGATCAGATATCGATAACTATGTGATCAAACAGTTTTTCAACCGTTAATTTGTTCACCGTCCAATTTTTTTAATACGAAACTGACTTGATCATATAGCTATCGATATCCGATCAACATGATTTTTTATAAACATATAGTACTCGACAAGTTCTACACATTGAACGGTTCAGATTATCAAAACGGGACCCGTAGTGAGCCCCCACAAATCTAACAGCACGGTCTAATCCGATCTCGGACTGGACAGAAGCCATACCCTATATTATGGGGACGTGACAACAAGTGGAGAACAAAATGGAGAGTTGAGACAATATTAGAAAGAAAAATCTTATGTCCCTTTTTGAAGCAGAAGATTTTTTGTGAATTAAATCTACACTCCTGAAAATTTGTATATTTTTTTCACTGAGTACAAAATGTCAAAATTTTGGATTTTGAATGGATTACCAAATCTAATTAGGGCCCTTTTGAATATCCCATTGACTTGAATGACTCCATTAACGTTTTGTAAGAGTTGTAATTAGAACTCATCATTTCTAATTGGATCATTTATATAGTAATTGATAGCTACCCCAAAACAATAGTTAAAATCCTCAATTTTTTCATTTCAACAAAACTTAAAATTGGCAACACGTAATTGGTTAGAGTGGGTGGTAATGAGGTTGATGGGGGTTGGGAGAGGGTGAGGAAGGCCGCAAAGGAAAGGGGAGGGAGGCTTGGTAGTGATAGGGGTGGTGGGGAGGGTGGTTCGATGACTGGGGGTGTTTTTTTTTTCGATCAGCAAAAAAATTCTATTGATAAAAATCAAATGTATAAACATAAGAAAATATATTAATAATGAAGGTAAATGTATAGAGTATCAAAGCAAAACTTAACCATCTTAACTACTTTAGCATAGAATAACATGTCCAATCATTTACCTGTGAACCACAAAAAATTGGTAAGCACCAAACCAAAACCATAAGAAGAACACTAAAGCCACTAATTCCATATAAAAAATAAAAATAAATTAAAAAACACCAAATAAATTTGACCAATAGCTATGGAGATGGAGATGGAAAGGTGGGTGGCTCACTGTTAGGTGGTGGCCGGGGTAGTGGCAGAGGGGGTTTTAGGTGTTGGACTATGATTCTCTTTGGTTCTTAGCGGAGGAAGGTGGGTGGCTTATTGTTAGGTGGTGGCTGTGGTAGTGGCAGAGGGGGTTTTGGTGGAGGTGGTAGCGGACAATAGCTATGGAGATGGCAAGTTGCCAAAGGAGGAGATGATAGTATCGATGAATTTACCATTTTGCCCTTGAAAGTAGACCATGTGAACCTCACTTGAGCCGTTCCTAAAAATTTAATTGACATCATCAATTTGACCAAATTGAATTAAAATTATAAATTTTTGGTAAAAATCCTTAAAGAACCAAATTGATACAAAGAACAAAATATAAGAATTACCAATATAATTTATCCAATATTTAATTTACATTACATCAATATATTTTTTTATTTATTTATCAATTGATAAGAAATTACAAATACAAAAAAGACAATCGTAGTCCAACACATTTATAAACCAAACACAAAACTCCATAATGAAAAGAAATAAAACCCAACAATCAACTCAACAAAAAACCCTATAATAGGGGAGACATTATCCATCTTTGCCAAACATTCGAATCTTACAATTCGGCTTGGATAGTACTTAACCAAACATAATTCAGTACAACAGTAAAATTAACACCACCACAAAACTCTTGTGGAAACATAGTAACACTTTTTCCTTACCAATAACAAACAATGCTATGCTTCCTATAACAAAGATCTCATCCGTATGCTGTAGTATGCTAACAGTTTTTCATCAACAACAACAAATGAGTATATTTGCAGGTACATTAATGGGATTTTAATCAAATAATCGAAGCATTTGGTTGGTTACTACTCTTGCATTGAATGCAACAATGTATTGCATCTTGAAACAATCATTTTGAGGACATTTACCCAACCTGGTTTTGCAGTAAAGCTTCATCATTGAGCAAGAAATGGTTTGAATGTCATCAACACCCCGATTACTTCGATTACATTCAGGAGGAAGAAAACCATCTGGTCACCTGCATTCAGATGAACAAATACAACTAAATATAGATTTCAGAAGCAATAAAATGAAAAACACAATAATCATTGAAAAACAAATTTTTGGCAGATGTAAACGCTGGTTACGGAGTTACTGTGTTGTGTTTATGAATCGGGCTGCTTTCAAATTGCATTATTAACAATTTTGGCAAAATCAATAGCTAACTCCATACTTTGTTTTGCAAAATAAGGATAAAAAGAGACATGGCATGGTTGAGTGATCAAATGAAGTAGGATAGATTTATTGAAACTAAAGAATCAAAGAATTACTTCAAACCAATAAAAGAATCAAAAGAAAATTTTCCAAATTATGAGGGAACACTTCAAAACAATATCTTCAGGAAGTAGATAACCAAAACCACATTGATATGGCAGTACTTGTGAAATTAGAAACCAGTGTTTGTAGAGACTTGAGAGCCTGACACCATTTTGTGCATCCAAAATCATACCCATGTCATGATCTGTAACTCAATTCAACTAAACTTAAAGGAGGACGACCCAATGCACGAAGTTTCCACTAAAGCAGGGTCTGGGAAGCATAAGATGTAAGCAGCCTTACCCCCACTGGGGACGCTAACAGCAATTCTTATCATGGGGGCAAGCCTCTCTTTGAATTGAACACTAGACATATGGTTTGAACACTAGACATATGTTTTGTTCATCATGTATAAAAGCACAAAGGGCACTAACATGATTGCCAACAACATGGCCTAACCCTAGCCTTGCCATTAATGAAGTCGACTTTCCCAAGCAGTGATACCTACAGTACTACCGGATGCTTCCCTCATCATAAAACCAACATGAAATGCAATGGCAATGATGGTAATTAATACAAGCTATGATAGAAGCCATTGTAACACCTAGTTTGCCCAGACCACAGATCATGCTGCTTTTTCCACCATGACACTACAATACTGCCACATAGTTCTTTCATTATGTCATCATCACCATTTTATTGCTTCTTGTGCTGTCACCTGCTGGGACACCAGACTACCAATTGTTGTTGATGGGTTCAAAACGAAAGTATTCTCAAAATTAAGCCACAATTCAATAAGTCAACCCAGTTTGTGGAATCACCTACTAGGGGTGACTTTCCTGTTCTAAAACCGTGATTTCGTGGTCAAGAGAAAAAACCGAATCATTATCACATTTCTTGTCAAGATAGAATCACAATTCCAACTATGATGGAACCACTCTAAAGGAACCAACCATCAAAACATGATTCTTTGGACAAAAGACACAGAAATCGAAAGAACAATCGGCCATGATGATCAAAAGCAACCTCATATGGGAATGAATGTTAAGAAACAACTTAATATATCCATTATGTTTCTTAAACCAATAAAGTCAAAATAGGCAACTATAGGAATGTGTGTGATCTCAGATAAAGAATGTGCGACGCAGTGTAGCCAACCGAAATTCAATAAATGGACTTAGTGGAGAGTTGTTACCTGGAAGGAAGGCAGCAACCCGACGCCGTTGTGCCCAAGAAAAGCTGCATAGATCATTGAGACTAATTAACAAATCCAATATATATATCAATTCATATCACACAAGTACTTTATAATCAACTAAGAATCATTGATATGACACCATACGGACATGCTAATGAAATAGTTTCCAAAAGAATCAGGACAGGTATTACACAAATTTCACTTTTCCATAACAAATAAATTTATATCAAATAATTCCTTATATGCTTTTATAAATTGGAAAAGAAATGGAGATACAAAGTTCATTAAGTTTAGAAGTTCCAAGTATTCATAGATAAGGTGGGAGCCAAAAGTTCCACGGGTTTAGGCTTTAAAATATTAAAATCCCAATGGAAGGATTAAAATGTACAAATTCATACTTCTTGTTGCTTTCTTTTTTTATTTTATTTAAAATTATGTCAGGACCCTAGAAGTGCCTTACACGTGTTCAACTAGTAAACATGTGTCCAAGGGATAAAAAAACATAAAAGACGGCTAACATAATTAAGTGAGCACTCACACTGCTCCTCCAGCAGCTGGACCAACAGCTTTAAAAAGTGACATTGCTGTCATAGATATGCCATTTGCTGCTCCTCTTTGGTTTTGGTCCTATTGTTATAGTATCAGGTATTCAAGAAACCAAATAAAAGACATTAGATGCGTAGAGGGAAAAATAATCAAATGACAATCAGTAAAACTGAGAAGAGAAGAAAAATTACCACAGCATTGTTCTGCAGTATGAACGTGCTAGTAATAATAGTTATCTGGTGAAAGTGAAAAGTTGTGAGATAAATATTTAATTATTGAAAAGAGAAGATGGGATAGTACTTCTGAAACTAAGACTATAAAGCTCACTGAAAGAAATATGCTCCTCACAGATTGACGACAAGATCATGCGCTAACATGATGAGCATGATGTGCAACATTTTGATGACTTATATGTCAACTTATACACGATCTTTTCAGATTCATGGAAGTTAAGAACATTACCTTGAATTATTAGCATTAAATCATTTACCTCTACAAATAAATCTATCACAATTTTTCCCTTTCCAATCCCATATTTTCAAAACATGGATGATTGATGAGCATTAGCAATTCTCCCAAAAACCCATTTCACAACCTTCCCATCCCACATAAGAAGCACAAACACGGACAAATGACATGACATAGACACGCCAACATGACAATTTTCAAAAAACACAGGGCACAACATGTGGGGGACACATGCAAAATATATAATTAATATATTTATGATATATATTTCATTCAAAGATAACAAAAATTTACAGCATAACACTAATTTTTATAGTTTTTGAGGGATTAATAGATATAAAACTATATTGTTTTTCTTTCTTATCATAGAATTCAAAGTTTTTTTGTTCAAACTTGTGTGTATCTAAGAGATAGGCACGTGTGCGCCCTAAATGTCCCAAACATGTCTGCGTCTAAGAAAACTTTTAAAAAAAAAGGACGCATTTGGGCATGTGTCGGACACATGTCGGGAAGTGTCCTTCGAGTATTGTTGTCCGACACGGACGCACCACCTTCTTATAATTGTCCGTGCTTCTCAGCTTCGTATAAATACTAAGAACAAATCAAAATTGCTATAATACTTAGAAAGGTTAAGACAGAATTTGCAAGGTTTGAATGGACTTACAGATAATATATTCTTTGCTATGGAAGCGCAATTTAACAACAGTGACAAGCTGAATCCAGTTAGCATGGTCAAATAGGGGTAACATGTCAATAGAGGTACTGATAAAACCTACAAAGAGAATCATTATACATCCAATAAGAGTGAACTTAACATATATTTCTCTGCATCTGAGAATGGCAAGAACATTAAGTTTTACAAGGATTGATTGCTTACTCCGGCAATGCGAGCTAACACGATAGGGCCAAAAATCCTATTCATTACTGGATATAGAGAAAGTTGAAATACCAACAGGCCAAAACCTGAAACATGAATAAGAATTCAGCAATCCAACCTTCAATACAAGTTCAGTAATACATGGATAGACATGTTAGGCAGAGAACCATCTGCGGATGGGGGTGGAGGGGAAGCACACTAGTATTTTACTAATAGACATATGAGTAAAATTAATTTCCTTACATTTTTTTTATAAATTCAAGATCCAGACATAACAAAAGAAATGGGTGGCTCAGACTAGAAACATCAATGAGACTTGAGCCCAAGCTGAATGCATGGGAAAGGGGCGTCTGAACCACTAAAATTGGTTGCCTAAATTGTTTGCAAAACCAAAAAGAAAAACAACTAAGTCTAATTCCCTGGGTCTCAATCATTTTTAAAAACAACTCTTGCACAACAAATTTATTTTTCTTATGGTTTTTGTTTCATTCCATCTTTGCAATTGAACCAGAGAGAACCACGGCCAGGGATCATGGAAAAAGGGCAGAAAATTAAAACAAAATAATATAGAAAGACTTTTATTCTTATAGTTAACAGTGAAATATTTCAAATTCAAAAAACATTTACTACGACTCTATAAACACATCAAGAACAACAATTTTAATTTTATTCCCATTATCAAGATATTTGAATGATCAACAAAAACACTTCATTAGCACTTAACACGCGGGGACTATTTTAATACTTTGTATTCTAAGTCTTCCATTGTTTGATACTCTATTTTTTTATTGTTAAAAAGAAAAAGTATAGAGGCAAGATTGAACTTAGTGTTTATCAGTAACAAAAATACATAGGGAGTGGGTGGCAGGGGAGGTGAGGAGGGAGGGAGGTGGCAGATGGTGATGGGAGAAGTGGGTTGTTTAGGGTTAGGATTTTTTCCCTCTCATTTTGTCTTTCTGGATAAAAATGGAAGGTGGACGATTAACAGACGTAATGAGAGGGGCAACCTTTACTTTCTGCAGAAGCAGACTACTAGGAGAGCTGACCAAGGAAGGACATCAATCTAAAAGCAGCAAATAAGTGGTGCTAAATTTTGTTATATAACTTTCTAAACACAATGAAGTGTCATTTATTCCTTTAAATACTAATGAACATGGAAAACATGAAAAAAAATAGATTTAATTGAAGAATGTGCCTTTAAGCTTATGAGATTTTTATGGTACAGGAAATTAATCTGGACATGATCAAATCTAAATCGTTGAGTATATCTACCACTCTACCTGTTACAGCAAGAACAACCCCAACATTGTCACTTGTATAGCTCAATCCCCCATTCTTTCTAGGGCTCTCAGCCCATAATGAGAATATCTGCAGAAAAAAATTGGTTGCCAATGATACCCAATGAGAAAATTAGAGACAAAAAGACAAAAGCACTCTGGTCAATGCATAGGTAGTAAAAAAACACTTGCTCAAATAATTACTTTGAAGATGACACTAATATTACCTCTACTTGGCATTATTAAGATTTAGAGAAAGGTAGTAACTCTTGACAATTATTGATTCTGATGTGCATGACATAACGTTTAATTAACAGTTCACTAATTTTTTCAAAAAAAAAGAAAGCAAGTAAGAAAGAAAACGTTACATACTATATTAATCAACCTCATATTATTCATTATAATGAAATTCATTATTTTTCTTCTGCGCAACGTGACTTTTCACAGTTTTGAAAAATAAGTTATCAATCATAGGAAGTCCACTATAAACATTAGTCTTTACTAAAAATTTGAAGAAGTTCAAAACCAAGATAGAAGATACCAATATGATATCTGTTTAGATTTCAGAAAGCACTAAAACTTTGTCAGACAAGTTCTAAGTTGAAGCAAGGTGCCAAATATGAAATGGTATCAAAATGGAAATGAGAAAAATGAAAATAGGTGATGGGTTAAAGAAAAACAAGGTCAAAATAGCCATTAATGAAGAGCAAAGAAAAGAAACAATGAACAATGAACAATAATTTGTCTTACGTTTTCGAATGATGAGTCAAATAAGCCCTGGATGACATTCTATTATTATACATAAGCTTCAATCCTATATTAGTAGAAATGTTGACCTTTTCAGTATGCAAAACAAGAAAGAGAACACAGAACACAATCAACTCCAAGATATATACCACAGAGGCATGCTCATATAATTCACACAATTACGAGAAAAATTCTAATTAAGATATTGTTAACAACATCCACTTGAGTGTTAGCTTGTAATATGAATTGGCTTCATAGTCCCCACTTATACCCCCTACATACTTTCAATTGAGACTCAGCATGTAAGCACATGCCAGTGTCACAGTGATAGGGTCATTACAAACTTCCCTCCTTCATTCCTTAGTGTCCTCACATTTAACCTCAATGGCTGGTCTAAACAACACAATGAACCCATGTGGTCATGACCAAATAGAATGACCTTATGTTGTAATGTCCTCGAACCCACACAGTCATGTGTGTGGGTCAACTCTAATACTAGAAGGAATGTGTGGGGGTCAACTCTAATACTAGAAGGAACAACTTGGGTCCTCCCCCAGAAAGAACTAGTTTACAATATGAGTTGAGTTCATTCCTCCCAATTATATACCTAGGATCCCCAGCAAACTTCCAATATGGAGCTAAACACACCAATACAGGTCAGGGTTGTTACAAACTCTCCCATTTTATCCCTTGGCATCCTTACCAGGGACTCTGCATACCACAATAATCCACTGATCAGGTCCAAACACCACAATCGACAGATCCTTGGGATGCAGTGTCCCCAAACCCCAACAATCATGTGTACTGGTTCACTCTAATCCCACGAGTAATGAGTCGGTCCACTAAAAGGGCCAGCCTATGATATTAGTTAGGTACATAGTCTTCACTTATATACCAAGACCATCCTTATAGTGTACTGAAATGATCCATATTCTAGGTGATATGATACTAATCATGCGATAAAATGCATAGATTACATGATAGACCATGAGTTCACAAAAGAAAAGAAAAGGAAAAAGAAAAAACAATTGCAGAATGTCTAATAACAGTATGAAAATCAAACCATATTTCATAGACCAAAATTAGGTTATGAAGGATACCTCTGTGTAAGCCATATCATGAAGTGAGAATACACAATAAACTATGATTGACGACATCAAGGGCCAGTTCTTGAATAGGCTTGTTTTAGAAGTAGATTTTGTTCCTTCAAAATCCTGTGTTTTTTCTTTCCCATTAGACCCACAGGACGCAGCCTCCAATGCCTCAATTGAATCTTCACACGATTTATTATGAACGTGCAATGTTTCCTACACTTTCCAGATATTAGAAAGTAAAACATGGTAATAGTTAAGGTAATAAAGTCAATTTGGAATAAGCCAACATCACAGTTAAAAGTTGAGCACTACAATAAGGGAATTGACTACATCATGCCTACATCTGCAGACACAAATGCCACTCGGCTACGATGTTATTGATTCATTTTGGATGCTTTGTATACATGATAATGACATATACATATACATATACATATACATATATATATATATATACATATATATGTGTGTGGAATACAATCGTATGGGATTTGAGACAAATATTAGAATACATAAATCATGCCAAGGATTTAATTGAACCATGAATCATGAATTTGATCTTGTATACACGTGATTGTATCTTCAACGGAGGCCAAAGATAAAATATTGGATAAAAAATGGCAAAAATAAGTAAGATGAGCGTGAATCCAAATGAAAAAGGACTTAGATTAATGTTGTGACATACTGGAAGCCGAAAAGAAACAATTGTCACCACCAATGCGAAAATTGATATAGAAAGGCAGGGCAAGAAGTACGGAAATCTGCATCACAAGTTTGTATTTTGCAAGTTAGATACACTTCGAATAATAATAGAAAATTCAAAATCAGAGGTGAAAACGCATGATTTCAGTCAAACAGAGCAGAAGGGTAAGGTTACCTTCCAAATATAGAATCTTTGGAAAATATAGCTGGATATTTCTCTGCAGGCTTAATTCAACAGGGAAATGAATGACAAATATAAAAATCTAAAAGAAAAAATCGGACATCATAAAACAAATTAACTATTTGCCACCTAGAAAAAATAACATGCAAACAAGTTGATACATCACGGACTAGGGAGAAATCAAACAAGCTCGAGACAGAAAATCCTGCATCCAGGTTAGATATAATGAGAAATGCATGCATACAACAAACATTAAGGACTGATCGAACTTATTGGGCTCAATTGTCTTATGCATCTTTAGAATAAAAACCTTGACTCTCGCTTGGAATTATTCTTTTGAAATTAGGTAACATGGTATCAGAAATAAATACCATATTAAAATGTTTTTTTAGGAAACCAAAAAAGGTTTGGAAATGAGGCCCTCAATTATTATTCAAGCTCCCAATTACATGCTACCACACACCACCTTTAAATTTTTCAATAAATTTTATTGCCATGTTTTAGATATCATCTTGCCAAAATCAACCTATCATAGTTGACATCATCAATGTCTTGATATAATAATTTAGAAAACCCATTAAGTCATGCAATACTAATCCCACCAATGTGGGTTGTTGGGAGGGACGAACTAGGTACAAGCCCAACTTTCAACATTACTTGGGTTAAGTTTCTACCTGAACTCGAAATGCATGTCTAACATGGTCCATTGGCATTTGACACATTATCAATGTATGCATGCTGTCAATGTCAATAAGTTTGCATTTGAAACACAAAATGTTGTCATTCATGCAATAAACAATGATTATTACATTATGGAGTCAGTATACAGATCATGAGAATAATGTTCAAATCTCATTCTTGAGAACCATATAAAAGAACAAAACTTTAGATGCTTTCACCAGTTTATTGTGCATCAGTGCCTTCTCTTGTAAACAATGCTATCTGACCATGTGGTAAATAATCTCCATATACTGTACAAATCATTTATTAGCCTTAGCTTTGCACATGAATAACTTTTAACAATGCATTACTCAATTTATATTAGATTTATTTCATTGTTTGTGATGGTCCAAAAGACCTTTTCGCATTTCTCGTTTCTTGCTTTTCGATCATTTGACTCTCCTCTTTGAAATTTAAAATAATAATAATAACAACCAAATAAATATTTATAAAAAACATCTATTTGCTCCCCTTCATGAAAATTAAAACGCATAGAAGTACCTGGGCAAGAAAACCTCCCAGAGCTGGGCCAATAATCAATCCTATGCCCCATGCTGTACTAACCTGACATAAAAATTCAACATTCTGAATTTCCATAACTAGGGAAAAAGTTGGCCAACTCACACATCTTAACACATTGTCAAGAAGTAAGGGTATATAAAGACCATAAACCTTACCGTTGATAGTCCTAAAGCTTGGTATTCCTTGTTGAAAATTTCACATGCATATGCCTAGTCATTGAAAAAGGTTTAGGATACTCAATCACATATAGAACAAAAGAAGCGGCAGCTGAAAACCGTTACATACCAGTTAACTTTAAACTGCATAATAACAATCAAATAATATTGATAAAAGGATACCTTTATTGGCCCAAGTAAACCATTGAAACTTCCAAGAAGAAACCTTGTACAGATGGCCATCCAATAGTTTACACTAAGACCAAAGAGAGTGTTGAAAATAACCCTACAATCAAATAAATAATAAAAGCATTGTGAAAAAATAGATAGTACACAGATTCTGATATAAAATAGAGAAATTTAATAGCAACATAATTCAGGAAATAAAAACTACTAACACTGTGAAAGTGCCTATAATTATAACTGGTTTACGACCATATCGATCAGCCACTAATCCCCATGCAACGGATGTGAGAGCTCTTCCAATCATAAATGAGGCCCCTTCATGGTATTAACAGAATCATTAGGATTGTCTTATGTTGAACTAAAATGCAACAATTGATTGATATATCACATCAATGTGGAAGATGTGGACAGGAAATCAGCTCACCCACATAACCAGCATAATAACCAATATCTTCTTCTGTTTCTGCAATATGGAAGTCCCTTATCTGCAATGGAAACCAAAGTCAATACACTGATCCAACACATGTACTGATGCTAATGACATCAAAAGAAAGTTCCTATCTTATTTTTACATATAGTTTGAAACCGCATATACATTGAGGAAATTCAAAGTACATGACATTAGAGATGAGCTTCAAGACTTTTGCCTTGGTGATTCATTGCGTCACACAGCCCATCAATGTTTAATTTAAGATGAAGTGATTCAGGTGAAGAAATTTAAGTGTATTCTGTTGAAAAAGAGTTTAGGACAGTCCATTTCTAAATGTATATATATATATACTCACCATGAAATAAAGGAATGGGAAGAGAGATGATATTGGCAGCGCTGAAAAGGTAAAATAGAAAACCTATGTTAGGGCCCGAACATATATGATAGACAAAATCATATGACTAAGCAGTTCTTAACCATTGCCCCTGCAAACAATATAGGATACATACCCCTTGTGAGAGCCCTTATTGTTCTGATTCAAACGAAAATTAAGCATCTATCTGTGTTCCAGTAAAAATTCAGGGACACAACTGCTTCTAGCAGATTTTGTTTTCCTCTTTTTGGCACCTCATTTATAAGACATATTGCAATACACATACACACACTCATGTGCAACACACGCCCTTCAATGATAAATATTTCATATTCCTTTCTGTTCATATCAAAAGAAAATTTGGTTTCAACTGCATATTTTGTTTTGTCACCCGGGCAAGTCTTTTGCACCAGTTTGTGTTTACTTTTGCTAGCTATTGAGCCTCTTGAATTGGTTAACATGATCTTCACTAGTTCATTCAGGAGCTATAGCTATTACATTCTTATTTGTTCTCATGTGACCATTTTAAGGTATCCTTGAATTAACAAAATTTAGGATTTTAAACATTAGAGTTTTGTGTTGGTTCTCATTGTTACTCATTTCCTAAAAGTTAAAACTTTTGGGACAATTGGCTGATATAGAGGTCTTGCTTTCAAGTCTTTCCATATGCATTGTTTTCTGTATACATTTTGCTTCTCTCCATTTATGTATATTTGTATCTCCACCTGCAAGACCCTATGAAACACGGATACTTCTAAGAAGGAGTCATATCCGTATTGTACCCATATCAGATACCTCGCAGATACGTTTCTAATACTTGCTAAACATATCCGATACTTGATGTTAATTTTGAGAAGTGTCGGATACTTTTTAAACACTCCAGGTCAAGTATCCAAACTATCATGAAATTGAAATTGTAATAATTTTTTTGCATATTATTAGAGTATAATTATTAGAATAAATACAAGAATCGTTTTTCAATATTTTCTTATTAAAGTTCTTTTTCAGTATTTATGAAATTAATGTATCCACTAGGGAGAGAGAGAGAGAGAGTAAACAGGCTATTAGCTCTTAAATTAATTTATATTCCTAAAGAATGGTTTCTCACTATTTTTTGAGTTCACGTATAATACTGGAATTATAAATATAAAATAAAAAATAAAAAAATCATCATATCCTGGTTATACCAGTATCCTATTTTTTTTAGATTTTGTCATATCATGGTATCTATATCCCATATCCATCCATGCTTCCTAGGCAAGACGTGATTTCATGTAGAGAAGGGTATTGGATAGCTTGATAGACATTATTGGACTCATTTCACTTAAGCTTTTGGGCTACTAGTGATCTTTGCAATGGCAGAGATGTAATTGTAGATGCCATTGATGATGAATTTTACATTACAATGGCATCTACAAGGAGAATAGGCTCATTCAACTTCTTGCAAACATTCAAATTGGCCCCAAGGGTCGATGAAAATAAAGTCAGAGATGTAATTTCTCAATAACTTTACCTGTGCAGAGCACCACAATCCATATGGAGACTAGTTTCTTGATGGGTATCCCTCTTTCCAGCTCTTTTTGCTGGTCCACTTTACATCCTGGACAGTCTTCATAGAATTCTTTCTGCAGCAGTGGCTGTCTGTGCTCTTCTGCCATTTTGCTCTATCCACAAAACCCACCTAGAATTCAATCCCCTGCCCAACTTCTCAAACTTCTCCTCTCGTTAAAAACCAAAAACAAAAACAATATGCATCTCACATAAATTGTAGGTGGGCCTGAAAGATTTTGCTAGTTAAAATCAAAAGTAATCAATAAAGGTATTGAGAAAGCAAAACCTTTTAAATCTTTTACTTGAACATCTAACAGACAAAAAATATTGGATCCCACTGTTCAAAAGACAAGTAGGTTTAGAACATATAATATATATATATATATATTATATACCCACAAATGTACTATATTATTGTTATATATGTCACATGTAAACACGAATGTAATTGTATTATTGTGTTTGATTGCGTTGCATCACTGCTCACGTAAGTCAGATCTTAACAGCTACAACTCCAACTTCATATTGAAAGAGATATATATATATACAGATAGATACAGAGAGAGAGAGAGAGAGAGAGAGAGAGAGAGAGATAAAAACGAAAAAGATGATCTCAAAAATCAAGTTAAGCTAGTAAACAAGCACAAGAAAGGGAGGCTACCCCCTCCATTTTTGGGACTTCAAAAACTCTGAAATTCTGTATTAAAAAGCTCCAAAAATATATATATATATATATAATAGAAAGGCGTGAGACAATAGACTTGTGGAAGTGGTTCACAGAGGAATTTATTCAAACAGGTTGGAATTGATTGATCTGCAAAACTACAAAAACAGAGAAGGACAACAAGGACTTGGTCCACCTTCAATGTGACGTCAATTATTGAATGTGTATGTGGTGTGATTGTTGTCTTCTTCGATTGTCTCTCTCTCTCTCTCTCTCTCTCTGTCTCTGCAATGAACACGACGTCGTACACCAATCGCTGAGATGCACAAAAAACAGAATAACATGATTGACAGCTTCATCTCAGTATTGGGTCCAAACAAGCTTTATCTCAGCTTTATACAAATTTTTCTTTTTCTTTTTTCGTTTCGTTACCACGACACGATGATATCATTGATGTTGATGTTAATTTATTTATTTGATTTAAGTTTGGACAAAACGTAAACTTTTCATATGTAACTTGTTTTTAAAATGTTGATTTTTTTATTTTTTATTTTTTAAGAGTGAATTGTAAAAATGTACCCAAAAAATTTATTAATATGTTTTTATGAGGATGTAATTGAGACAATGACGACTAGATTAATTGCACCCTCTCCTGTCCTTGTTAGATTTATTTTATTTTTCTTGTTATTGTTAGACCTTTTTTCACACATGCCCATCCCCATATTCATATCTATATCCACTTGATTTTATCATTTTCCTTTTGAAACTTTAAATTTAGTGCTTGTTTGCTATGTGTTAAAATAGCACATATTATTTTAACACATTATTTTATTTGGGTCAAATCATCTTATTTAGGTCATATTATTTATCTATCACATCATTTCAAATCAAACTCATATTTCATATTTTTTCATAAAAAATTAAAAAATATAATAATCTAATATTTCTTAAATAAATGTTTAATAAATCATACTCTCAAAACCACTCAGATTTTTGAACTATAAATTTATTAGAAGTGTTTTTCTCTCTTTTGCGATCTCACTCTTTGTGGTTGTTGAGAGGGTAATTTTTGGGAAAAATTGGGTCGAGCTGTGAGATGGACTTTATGGCCCAAAGTACGAAGGACAGGATAGAAAGGCCCAATAGAAATGTAAAAGTTACTCCAGCCCAGGTGAGGTAAAATTACTTCGGTGCAATAAGATGTAAAGCTACTCCGGTCCGGGCAACTTGGAGTTAGGTCGGTCCCAGTAATAGTCCGGTTGAAACGTATTGAGGTTAGAACGGCCAAAACACTGCTACTCGGTAGCTCGGTCTTGGAGTTGTGCCGGTCGCAATTTGTTAGTTCGGTCCAGTCGTGTTATGGGTTGAGCAGAGGAGAACCGAGATGAGGAGTAAAAGCAAAACCGAACTAAGAATAGTTCGGCCTAGTCAGTGGCTCTGCAGAGCCAAGCTTATTTCGGTCATATCGTAGTTCTGCCAAAGTAAAAACCATCCTACTTGGTTTAAGCAGTGGGGGTGTAAAAAGATAAGCATTATCCTTAGGAGTATGAATCCTAGGAGGACTCTGCATGGAGGAATAAGAGTCCTACTATGATTGTGCCACACGAAACTTATAAAAAGCTCACAAACATCACCTTGGAGGAGGTAACAGAACACAACACACAATTTTGCTTTCTGAAGACATAGAGCTTTGTCTATTTGTCAAGTTTACTGACTTGGGTATCGGAGAGGTTTCTGGCACACACCCGCCGGCTAGCTCACGTTTATATTTTCAGGTGACAAAGCGACGTCGTACGGAGGAGCGTGGACTTGGTCAACAGGATTATACGAGGAGAATTATTTCCTCCCCGTACAATTGGCGCCGTCTGTGGGAAGAACAGACAAGAACAAAAACCTCTTGACTAAGCTTCTCCTTTTCTCATTCAATGGCACACATTGAAGACTTGCTGCAGTCCGCCGTCGACGGACTAACTCCAAAGGGGGGCGCAAGGCGTGAAGGATTACCTTCTGTCCCTCCCATGGCGGACTTGGAGCCCCAAAGACATACCTCCAGGAGGGATGCTAGGGGGAGACGGACTCATAGCCCCCGTTAATCCCATTCTCAAAGTCCCGACAGACAAAGACGGAGGATTGACCCTTAAACTCTGGAAGATCGCGTGAAACAGCAAGATGAATTGATAAAGAAGATGGCGGCAGACATGGAAGCCTTGAAGCGCCAGATGAAGAAAAAAGAAGTGGCGACAGGAGAGGGACGCAAAAACAAGACGCCCCCTCGCCACTCAGAAAATCGTAGTAGGAATACTACACCCTCGCAAGGAGAGAGCAGAAGCCTCAGGACAGGCGACACTCACTCCTTATCTTCAAGAACTCGTCACTCCAAGTCTGAGAGGACGAGATCTGAAAGATCATACACTGAAGGAAGCACGTATTGGCCTTCACATTCACACAAAACCAGATCCAGACAAACCGAGCTACCCAGGTCATCCGACTTACGAACCGTGCTTTAAAAAATTTCTTTCCAAACGGGACCAAAAGGCAATGAAAATTGAAATAATAGGTAGACATCGAAATTTAAAAATAAAATAATAATAATAGTAATAATGAAATAAGCATGTGGAAAATTGGAGAAATGGGGTCCAAAGAAATCATAATTTGAGACAGAATGTCAAAATCGAATGTACCTAAAAGGAAATAATTAATGATGTTAGGTCGGCCTCAATTGTCCGGCTAACCAATCCGGTGTGAGTCATTGGGGTTAATTAATTCCGTAATCTGTGGCTGACTTTCTTTTCATTGGCCTTAAATCATTGTCAATTCGGTTATAGAAAATGATTCACAAACAGAGAAATGTATACGGTAAGAAATGTTATCTTACTTGTTTTTATAGTGATGTGCATACTCTTCCCATCAAGTCTTGGCGACCTCGGCTTGACTTGGTTCGAGAAACTTCCTGAGGGCAGCATAGCCTCTTGGGCACAATTGGCAGAAGCATTCGTAACAAGGTTCCGAATGAACACTAAAACCCTGGTGGAGATCGACCAGCTTCTCTCCATCGACATGGGTGAAAAAGAGACCCTCAGATCTTACAACAGTCGCTACTGGGAGACATTCAATCAGATAGGGGACTGCCCCACCAATCTCGCCATTGCACAATATAAAAGAGGCCTTCCAGTTGGGAACAGACTAAGGGACTCGATTACCATGACGCCACCCCTCACCATAGAGGCCCTGATGCAAAGAGTGCATCAGCACATCAGGGTAGAAGAGGATAGCACGCGTGCCAAGGCAAAATCTAGTGCGACCGCAGTACCAGAAAAGAAAACCTCAGCAAAGGTCAACGCGGTAGATCGGCAGAATAGAAACGGTCATGGCAGACGAGATAACGGAGAAAACCCAGACAAAAGATAGTTAAGAATCCGCACTGCCATAACAACGGTGTTCAAAAAACCGATATATCGGATCTTGAGCGAAATAAGGGATGAGTCTTTTGTCAAGTGGCCAGCCAAGCTAGGTAAAGCTCTGAAAGACTACGACGACAGATCACGGTGCACCTTCCACAAAGAAAAGGGGCACCGAACTAAGAATTGCACGCCGTTGAGACAGCACTTGGAAGAGTTGGTAGCAGCTGGTCACTTGGACAAATACATTGAAGGAGGGACACAGCCAGCCGCCCAGGATCATAACAACCCTAATGGAATGCCAATCGACGCGCCACCTCAAGGCATTATCAATGTGATACATGGAATCTTTGAACCTGAGCGTGTATGCGAGCTCAAGGGATCAATCAAAAAGGCTGAACACTTTAGAGAAGTACAAAGTGCCCAACCTGCCTTTAAGAAGGGGAAGACAGAGGCAACAAACGTCATGTCTTTCTCAGATAAAGACTTAGACCGAATATACTACCCCCATAATGATGCCCTGGTCGTCACTCTCCGAGTCAAGGATTTTGACGTCAAGCGGATTCTGATTGATCAGGGTAGTTCATGTGAGATCATGTACTACAAAACATTCAAACAGTTAAAGCTGCAAGACAAAGACTTGGCGCCTGCCGTCTCTCCCCTGATTGGGTTCAACTCTATGCCAGAATGGCCCGTTGGTAAGATAATTCTTCCGGTCAGAGCAGGAACCGTAACAAAACAAGTGGAGTTCTGGGTATTGAAAGTCCCCTCCACTTACAACATCATTTTGGGCAGAACATGGCTGCATGCCATGCGATCGGTGGCGTCATCCTACCACCAAGTAATGCGGTTCCCCAACGACACCGGTATAATTGAAGAATTCTATGGGGATCAAATCATGTCAAAACAATGTTTCGCCACGGTGAATGGCAGCCGCGCTGCCAAAGGGTACGTTCATTCGGTGGAAGAACCAGAAAGTAATGAGCTATTCGCAGACGTCGGCAAAGAGGCTGATCAAAAAGCGGTAGAGGACTTGGTGGAGGTAAAAATAGATGAGAAGAACCCGGATAAGTTCTTCTTGCTTGGCTCGTCGTTGTCCAGCGCTGAGAGATTAGAGGTCTTGGAATTCTTGACCTCTAACATCGAAGTGTTTGCCTGGACGCCCTACGACATACCAGGCATTGATCCAAACTTCATCAGTCACCAACTCAACGTCCACCAATCCGCCAGACCAGTCATTCAGCGCACACGTAGATCGGCACTCCACCACGCCAAAATAGTAGCAGAAGAAGTAGGCAACCTGCTGGAGGCAGGAGCAATTAGAGAAGTGC